AAAGCTCATCAAGTCAAGGTCCGGAGAAGGAATTGATGAAAGACCTTGGACAGAAGAAGTGACCCCGCCTTGAGTCGAAGGGGAAGTTGCAAAGGGTCGAGGAGATTCAGTCGAACCTGCACAATGGAAGATTTGTAAGATTTCAGTAAGAGGCCATCATACAAATAGTCAGGTCGAAAGAAATATACCCTTGTTCTGACTCGAAGGAGGTTGTAGCTCAAAAGTTGAACTCGCGGGGACAGGGACGGGTATCATAAAATCCGTACCAAACCCGCCCCATTGCCATCCCTACTTACACCCATATATTTTGAACACGTGCTAACTTAAAGTTTGGAATCCTTTTTACTAGTACAATCATCAATATTTTAAAGATCGAAGACCTAGACTTTGGTCAATATCTTTCATAGAATAATATTCTGTCTTGGTGTAACAATTAACATGATAAATTTGCTTTAGAAAGATGTGTTTCATGAGTATATGATTAGAAATACTATACTTAACATTGACCCTGGTCAATACTCGGCAGTCGGCATATTTGCCCGGGCTGGGTTACTATATATGAATTTGGCCTTCAGAACCATGTGTGAATAATATATTATACAAAATTTGACCATTTGTCTCTTTTCTTGCAAATTAATCCGTCATTCAGCATTTAATTTCCCAAATAAAATACTGCAATTTCATAAGAATTTTACTTTTTGAATTGTGAAATTAATAAATCAACCAAACCTGAGCCATTAAATTGTTAACCAAGAAAAGGAGTGGAGAGCTGCACCAGAAGAAAAGAATTTCAAATAGTATAAATTTGTTAATTTACAAGTTGATCCTCTGGTATAACAAATAACAAATGTTTGTCCCTCATTACTCACATTAATAAAGTGAGAACACATAACCTCCTTTTTGTTTTGAAAAATTGACGGTTGGGTAAGATTAAGATCTGTCTGTTTATAGTTAAAGCCACCATGATTAATGTTAAACATATCAATTATAAGGTTTTCAATAGAAAACAAGAGACTTTGACACACCTTGAGCGGCTAGATAATCTGTCCATTTCTACCCTAGCTACACAGAAAAATTAAAGGTAGAGATCCTTTTCAAGCGTGGGGTAGCAAAAGCACTTAAAGAGTTGGCCAAAGGTGGAGTGGCTCACAGCCTTCATAACTCAAATCAATGTATTGTACCATAAAAGAAGGGAGGATCGAGATTGCAATACTACTATGGTTGCATGTTCTAGATTCCACATATTATTCCTCTATTTTTCTCCTGGTCAATCAACATTGCCTTTATATATTTACTTAATAATATTCTAAATGAATATCTGATCAGAAAATAAATGTGTGTCTAGCCTTATAATCTTCCACTAAAAATAGCCTCAAACCTAATCCATACCTTTATGAAAAAAACAAACAGTGATCTGTCTCAAATGAATAGTGGCAGGACGTCGCTTTTAGATTCTCATTGGTGTTTGTTGAGTCCACCTTGCCTATAAATGGGGAGCCTCTCACCACAATCCTAAGCTGTGAGTCGAAGTTTAGAAGAGCAAAGCTTCCCACCTAGGCCTTTCTATATTGTAGCATTTTAGAGTTTCTTTCTCCGTGGAAGTTCAGAAAATGGTTAGCACTGTGTTTGAGATCTGTTGATGAATAGTTTTTGGTCCATGGCTGCATGTAACTTGAAATGTTATATGCTTTATTAAAAATATTTTGTCACTTTATTTCAGGAGGGAAAAGTGAGTTGGACAGTTGCAGATGCTGTAGACTATAAAGGCTTCCCTGCAGACAGGTCCAAAACTGGCGGCTGGGTACCCGCAGCTCTTATTTTAGGTTTGTAGTAATAGCCTTATCTCCATACCCACTCCTTTATATCTCATGTTCATAATGATTATATGCAACTTGCTTTTGGAATATGTAATACATGAGACTTAGAGGGAAGACAACATTCAAATAATACATACTTCACCAGACCTAAAATGATAATTTCTTCATCGCCTTCGTGGGCGATGTTTTCATGGATAAATTAAGAAGCTATATTTTCTATACAAGTCGGTGATTCACATATTGCACGGTAAAAGTTAATTGTGTGGTTTATCAAATTAAGATGATGAAGAATAGATAGGATGGAGTTGGTGCATGTATACTAAGTATACACAAGTTTGCATTTTTAAAGATTATTTTTTTTATAATCATATTATTAATATGAAATATTTATCAATTTGTTGATAATAAATTTAATCAGAAAATTTGACTGATTGATTATTTTTATAATAATTATTAAAAAAATTATTTGATATATTTTTAATTAGTTGGCAATGTAAATATATAATTAAAAATTAAATTCTTAAACAATAAGTTTCATTTTTCACATTAAAAAATTGACACGGTAATACAACATCATGTGACTATCTTTATCTCTCTCTGTTCATGTTTCTAGTTTACACACGTTTTATAAATACACCCCAAAGTTTAAGGGAATGACTTTTGTTGTCCCCTTTTAATGTTCACAAAATATTTTTCCTTAAAAGATTAATTAAGACATAAATAGAGGCTCGTGAATGATGTTATTGTTTCCAACACGGCTCCTCGTAGCAACAGTAGCTTGAAGTAGACAAGGCTCCTAAAATGGTGTTACCATTACCATAGCAATAGCATAAATGGTTTTACATACTATCCTGCTGTAATATTCATTTTATTCTATCTAATGTTTTCGGGGGTAATGATTGCATCGGGGCAAGAAGACAAACAAAGTGGAATACTAACTAAAAGCGTGTACATACTTCTGAATGAGGATAATTCATATGTCACCTTCTGTTTGGACATGGAGGAAAAAAGCACAATATTACATACAATCTTTATGATGTGAATGAATATCACAATATTCCATCCTTTCTCATCTTTATCCCCACACTTTCTAAAAGTTAAGTTTACTTTTTCCATTCATTTTAGGCTTTCTCAAAGCATTAAGTTCCATTTTTCACTAACAGCCTCTACATTTGGACACAAGTATCTTAATTTATTTTATATAACGCATGCGCTAAACACTAATTACCTGCTTCTTTACAACCCTTTTACTGTGCCCTTTTTTTGGTGCACAAAAGAATAAAGATGAAGGCAATATGATTTTTCACCTAATAAGTAAGTTACATGAACTCTAACAACAGAAGGTAATTCTAAAAATTCTTTCAGGGATTGAAATTGTGGAGAGACTCTCCACCATGGGGATTGCGGTCAACCTTGTAACCTACATGATTTCAATCATGCATCTTCCAAGCTCAACTGCAGCCAATACTGTGACCGACTTCATGGGCACATCATTTCTCCTGTGTTTGCTGGGAGGTTTTCTAGCAGATTCCTTCCTTGGCAGATACAAAACAATTGGAATTTTTGCTTCAATACAAATACTGGTTAGTTACTAGTAAATATATAGCCTATAAGCTTTTATCATAAAATGTCAACTTTATTGACATATTCATTTATATAAACTTTATAAAAGTGGAAAGTTTTCACTATATATATATTCTGCATATTTTAACTTGGAGGGAATGGTGATTTCAGGGTACTGCTACATTAGCAATCTCAACAAAATTGCCACAGCTACGTCCACCACCTTGTCATGCTAACAGTGACAGTTGCAAACAAGCCAATGGATTTCAAATGGGAATATTATACTTATCACTGTACCTTATTGCACTAGGAACTGGTGGCCTGAAGTCTAGTGTTTCAGGATTTGGGTCTGACCAATTCGATGAGAAAGATGAGAAGGAGAAATCCCAAATGGCCTATTTCTTCAACAGGTTTTTCTTCTTCATCAGTTTTGGAACTCTGGCAGCTGTCACAGTACTAGTCTATTTGCAAGATGAAGTGAGTCGCAGTTTGGCGTATGGAATATGTTCTGTTTCTATGGTCCTAGCCATTTTGGTGTTCTTATCAGGAACCAAAAGATACAGATACAAGAAGAGTTTGGGAAGCCCCATTGTCCACATTTTCCAAGTTATTACTGCAGCAATAAAGAAAAGGAAGATGCAACTCCCATGCAATGTTGGTTCTTTGTATGAGGACACTCCCGAGGCTTCAAGAATAGATCACACCAATCAGTTCCGGTAAGCATATTATTATCTTCAAGAAAATAAACTTGTGACGTCTAAATAATTTCCTCATACCCATTTTAAATTTTTTTTATATTTTAATTATATAGTTTTTTGGAGAAAGCTGCCATTGTGGCAGAAGGTGATTTTGAGACAAATTTATCTGGTTCTGAACCAAACCCATGGAAGTTATGCTCACTAACAAGGGTGGAGGAGGTGAAAATGATGGTGAGACTTCTGCCAGTGTGGGCCACAACCATCATATTCTGGACCATATACGCACAGATGATCACCTTTTCGGTTGAGCAAGCCTCCACCATGGAGAGGAATATTGGGAGTTTCCAAATTCCTGCAGGATCTCTTACTGTCTTTTTTGTGGCTGCAATTCTAATCACTCTGGCTGTTAATGACCGACTCATCATGCCCCTTTGGAAAAAGTGGAACGGCAAACCAGGTACCCAAGATATTGCTATGCATTATTAGATTTAGTTACTTCAAAAAGTACATATTAGATCAAAGCCCATGCCCTAAGTATACCTACTTCCTCAGACTATACAATTATTAATATTATCCAATATCAAATATATTATTTTGTCATGATCATGGTAATATCATTATTTATATATATATAGCACTTGCAGAAACCAGCATGTGAAGCCCATACATATATAACATGCATGTCACAAAATTAATTGTGTATAATATATAGTCAAGCCAACTGAATACCAAACTTCGATACAAATAATTTACATAATTCTCCATGCGTCCCAGGTTTCAGTGACCTACAGAGGATAGCAATTGGACTTGTATTTTCCATTTTTGGAATGGCGGCTGCTTCTCTATGCGAGAAGAAACGTTTGTCTGTGGCAAAAAGTGTAAGTGGAAACCAAGCAACACTGCCTATAAGCGTTTTCCTCCTAATCCCACAGTTTTTCTTGGTGGGGTCTGGTGAAGCATTCATATACACTGGGCAACTTGATTTCTTCATAACAAGGTCCCCAAAAGGAATGAAAACCATGAGCACGGGTCTCTTCCTCACAACTCTATCATTTGGTTTCTTCTTCAGCAGTTTCCTTGTCTCGATAGTGAAGAAAGTTACCGGGACAAAAGATGGACAGGGGTGGCTAGCAGATAATATAAACAAGGGCAGGCTTGATTTGTTCTATGCACTGCTTACCATACTTAGTTTCGTTAATTTTGTAGCGTTTGTGGTATGTGCAGTTTGGTTCAAGCCTAAGAAATCTAAACAACCAGCTATGCAAATGGGGGCAATTTATGGGTCCACATCAGAGGAGAAGTGCTGAAGACTGAAGAGTTGTTAGGATATGGGCATGGGATTGTAACCATTGTTGTTATTATGGTTTTGTTGTTTCTAGATAGACTGTTATGTGTTTGCGTCCGAAGAATGGGTTTTGGGTTTTTCTCGGTGATATTATAGACATAATGTTCGAGTTGGCTTCTATACGTATGTACAAGCATGTAACATATTTTCTAGTCTTTCAAGTCCTTGTTACACTTTTCAGTTTTTCATAATCATGATCAGGATTGCTTTTTTTGATCTTTCTTAATTTAATTAGTTGTCTTTTTTAGCTATATATACATTAAAATACTGATAAAATAATATACATTAAAATATGTAATTTAATTGATATTAAATGTGTAAAAAAATGTCTCATGCATGTGTGTGATACGTGTACATGATTTAATAATTGAATGAAGGGTTAATAATCATGGCATACAATGATTGGAAAGAGGTTATATGAATTTATTCACTGCTTTCTGTAAAAAACAAAACAAAACATAAATCTTCGCTGCTTGATAAAAACAGGTGTAAATAGAAAAAAGAAAACAAATTCGTCCAATATATCTTTACTTATTAAGGAATCTTTAATGATTCTTGATAAATAAAAATAATAAGAGAAGAGGACCGCATATATTGGTTAATGAATTTTATTTTATCGCAAGTTTTACAAATTGAGGGCATTACACAAATGTTTGTGCATTTAATATAATAATATATACAAGCAAATTATTATTTTCATGGAGAGTAATTAATATAAACGTTCACGCCTAAATAATAGTAGATTTAAATATATTTTTAGTTCTTTAAATTTAATATAGATTTATTTTTAAAATTTCAAATTTAAAATTGATTTTTTTAATTCATGTAATTTTTTTAAAAAATATTTTAATCTTTATACTCATATTTTGTTAAGAAATATATTAAATATTGTCGCATAAAATTTATCTATTAGTTTTCTTGTTGGTGAAAACATTAGATTAAACACAATTGATATTGCATAATTATCTTAATTTATCACTTTCAGATATATCGGCAGATATATCGGTAACCTAAGGCACTAAAAAATTACAAGAACTAAAAATAATAATTTTAAATTTGAAGAATCAAAAAATAAATTTATCCTAAATTTAAAGGATTAAAAACATATTTAAGCTTAAAGCTGTCAAAATGAGTTTTAGCTTGTGGGTCAATCCGACCCACCTGCGTTGAACCTGTGGTAGATCGGGCTGCCCACTTAACCCACTTACACCTCCCATCAATCTAATCCATTAATGGTCCACTTAACCATTTATTGTTATATGTGTATTATTTTAACATTTTTTGTAAAGGAAGATAGTTGATGTTAGACAACATGAAATTGTTATAGATTTATTTACTTAATCCTTCAATGAAGCTTAATATTGATGGACAACTTCTCCAATGACAAGAATTTTATATATTTTTTTTGTTTTGATTATCTAAAGTTGTAACTTTTTTAATTAAATTTAATGTTAATTGCATGATACTTAGTTTGACAATTTTTATTTTAGAATTAGAGTTTATTTTAAATTAGATTTTTTTAAAAAAAATTAGGTGAGTTGGTGGGCGAGCCATTTAGTCCACCAACCCGTGGTGGGTCGAATTCAGTTAGAAAATTTTAAACATTAAAGTTGGTGAGTCAGATTGGATCAACCCATTTAGAAAGTGAGTTTGGATGAATTGAATCAAATGGGCTAGACCAACCCATTTTGACAGTCCTATTTCAGCCATAATATATATATATATATATATATATATATACACACACATTTACAAAATTATATATATATATATATAACTTTGTATGGATACAAAATTCTCATTTGCATAACAAAAGTATATCTCTATAAATATAATAATATATCTATTTGTGTAAAAATAATTGTTAGATAAAGTAAAACATATTAAAATTAGGGGTAGAAATATGTGAGATCACTTGACATGAGTATATAACCTAGTCTATATCAAGATCAAACTAAATCCTTTTAGAAAATAGATCATGTAATGACTCAACATGTCCTTATACTTTATAGTTCAACTACTAGTAATGAAAAACATAAATATAATAACTTAAGGTTAATATACAAATAGTACCTGGATATATATACAATAATATGTACATGTGTAAAAATTCATCAACAATACTAAAATAAATCCCTCAATGGGATTACAACTATAAATATACAAGTATATATATATATGAGGGGGTTATAATAACACTGGTGTAACTTTTACTAAGTATTACATCGCTCAATAACTTTATATTAAATGTGAATTTTGTAAATCTAATCGTTTGATTGAAAGTTCTTATCTCTTAGATCATATATACAAAATTTTATATTAATCCAAGATGTTGATAATTCATTTTTATAAAAACAAAATTGACGTAATATATTCATTTCAAAATACACTAAAATATGAACACTTTGATTATCTTCAAATTGTTGTTCAATTTTAAAAAAATTTGATATACACGTATAAAGTTATATGAACTTTCAATCTAACAGTTGAATTTACAAAATTCACAATTAATATAAAGTTATTGAGTGGTGTAATACTCAGTAAAAGTTACATCAGTGTAATTATAACCCCCTTCTATATATATGAGGAGGGATCCTTTTACTCTAGGAGTCGTTCAATAACTCATGTTCTATGTTGAGTGTCTTTTATTCATATATTCACTCAACTTTTGACACTCTTTTTGTATGAATTGTAAATATATTTATGATAATTTCCTATTTAAAAGTTATATTAGAAGATAGAAGAGTTAATGTTGATTTTCTCTCTTAATTGCAGCAAAAATTGAGGAAAAGAATTCTGCAGTCATAGCTCTGGTTCTGCAGCTATAGCTGTGAAAATCTGGAAGGAAATTCTAGAAGTCAGAAAGTTGCAGCCATGGCTGTGGGTCTGCA